CGCAACCTGTTGCTACAGAGTATAATAGTTTTGTTCACCTAACGGTTGTTTGTATCACCTAAAATTAATCGAGTTAGATATAGGGTTATATATATATAAATGATCAGGATGAAGAGACGAGTTGAAATCCGGGTGACTGTCTGTCCGTCCGTGCAAGCTGTAACTTGAGTAAAAATTGAGATATCTTTATGAAACTTGGTAGACATGTTTCTTGGTACCAAAACGCCATTAATCAAAAACAAATAAATTGCCATAACTTAGCTCCGCAATAAGATACAAGACTGCTATTTGGTACAAAGGATCACATTAGGGAGGGGCATCTGCAGTTAAATTTTTTTTTTAAAGTGGGCATGGTCCCGCCTCTAATAGGTTTAATGTGCATATCTCATAAACCGCTAAAGCTATAATAACAAAATTCACTGGAAGCAAATGTTTTTAGAATCTCTACCTACAGTGTGAAAATAGTTGAAATCGGGTGGCAACTCCGCCCACTCCCCATATAACGGTACTGTTAAAAACTACTAAAAGCGCGATAAATCAAGCACTAAACACGCCAGAGACATTAAATTTTATCTCTGGGATCGTATGAGATGACTTTATAGGAACCGCGTTCAAAATTAGACAGTGGGCGTGGCACCGCCCACTTTTAGGTGAAACCCCATATCTTGGGATCTGCTTAACCGATTTCAACCAAATTCAGTGCATAACGTTCTTTTTATATTTCTATGTCATAGTGCAAAAACGAAATCGGACTAGAACCACGCCTATTTCCCATATAAAACCATTTTCAATTCCATCTGATTCTTTCATTTTCCACTATGCATATCAAGCAACAATTATTATATCGGGGTAAAACTTTGCGTGAATAATACGTTTAATGTATGCCACCTTGTGACCAAAAATAGTCTAAATCGAACCAAAACTGTTCAAGCCCCTAAGTACTAAATATGTGGACCCCAGTGCCTTCTACCGAAAATTTCAGTCAATCCACAAAGAAATCTCAAACGAGTGTACCATATGACTTTGCGAGAGTATAAAATGTTCGGTTACATCCGAACTTAGCCCTTCCTTACTTGTTTATTATTGCATTTGTATTTTACTCATGCACTTTATGGCCTGAAGAGTTAAATAACAATTTCTTTACTTAAAAAATTCTTATGCTCGCAGCTGTCTAACTACACCACTTCTATGTATGTACATATGTGTTTGTTTTAATAAATATTATAACATCTAAATTCTTGAAAACTTGAAAACTTCTACACAAGTGCAATTAACCACTTTAATGCCATCACTTATTCTCCTAACCGTTAAGGTCCCGTGGTTGGATTTCGTGTGCTTAATTACCACAAATATAATTGAATTGCAGTTATTGGCACCTGACAATTAAAATATTTTTAGCGCCATGAAATTCAATTAAATTTTGAAAACTACACCAGAGATTGTGAATTATTATAGAGAATTTACGAGTATATAAATTCAACATTTGATATTATGCCCCCATATTTAGCACTAAATTAACTTAGTTTTATGAAAAGAAACTCACCGAATAACCCAAATATCTGTTATCACGTGCTTAACCGCAATCTTATATATTATTATTATTATATGTTATTGTTTATATAAGTGCTGAAACAGCTATGAACCAATATTATTCAGTTTTGATACCGACCCATTTTATACAAAGTGAACTATTGTCAAATTTATTAAGTCGCCTCTCATCAATATGGTCAATGAAATTGCTTATATTATAGATCGGAGAACTTACTATTTAATAAGGTTTTTCTTTTTTTATACCATGAAGAGGGTATATTGAGTTTGCCACGATTTGTAACACCCAAACAGAAAACGTCGGAGACCCTATAAAATATATGTATATACCATATAAGTGATCAAAATGATGACGAGCTGAGTCGATTTAGCCATTTCTGTATGTCTGTATATGTACTGCCATACAAACTGATCGATCAAAATCAAGTTCTTGTCAGGAATATTTTGTATTTGTGAAGTATATATAGCTTTGGTGCAAACGAAGTTAACGTTATTGCTTATTTAATATCAAATCAAACTACCTTAAATATAACATTTTTGTGTCGGCTGTTATCTTATCGAGCATTCTTTCAAGATCTGACGGAAAGAAAACTCCGCTGGGAGCTCCTGAGAATATGGTGAATGGTGTAGTATTTCGATAGTCGATGAAAAGTTTCCGTGTGCATCAAAATTACATACACACATACCTTCTGGTCAAATCTGACCCGAACCGATAAAACCTGGTACATTTGTTATTAGCCTTGGCCTTCAATGCCTTCAGCAAATTTTGTTTTTTTTTTCGTTTAATTTTTAGAGCGCCATTTGGATAGTCAGACGTCATATTCATAGAGCCACGTCTTGCCATCAGTAATAATACGTTTGATGAATGTGGGGTTCTTATCTACGTTGTCAAGCATCTCTTTTGCGACCTCTACTCGAAGTCGGTTTTGCAAAAGATTCAGATCTTTTGGTACGAGTTTAGCTTTGACGTAACAATGTAGACTTCCCGAAATACTTTGGCAACACTCTCAACGATTCCGTAGCCATGATTCTATTGTCAACGCAAAATTTCACGCGAAAACTTGTCGTACCGTAAACAAACATCTGCCATATATGGAGATCAAACTTTACAAAAACAAAAGTTGTACCAGTCTAGGAAAATTCTTTCTATCGATTTATATTGCGCGCTAGCTCATAAGTGTGGTATGTTTTAGTTTTGCCATCTGACTGTTGCATCTTTCCATACATTTTCGATTCGATTCGATTCTCTTTATTTTTGGAAATAGGAAAAATGCACACAAATCGATGTCTGGCGAATATGGATGCTGGGCATCGTTACAGTATTGTTTTTAGCCAAGAATTCACGAACTTCATTATTATTATTTCTTTTAACAAATGAAAATTGGCAAGTTCATAAAACACGTCTAAACTTAGCGGCTGCCAAAGACAAAGTAAGGTAAGTAATGAAAGCGTAACAAAATGAGAATGTGTTTCAAATTAAATAAAAAGTAGTGAAGTACCAAAGAATGGATAAATAAACGTGTTTATCTTTTAACAGTGTTTCCTCAAATTTAGGAGTACTAATTTAAAGCTCTGTAAACAACAAACTAAAATTGACAGGTAGTGACTCTAATTTCGGCAACTTTTTCATTTTTGCGTCATCACCTTCTGAGTTCTATTAAAAACGGAAAACTAATACTTTAAAGAAACATTTAGGTGTTTTCAATTAAAATCTTTCATGTGATTTTGAAAATGCATACATTTCAAAAAATAAACATATTACAGTCATTGAAACTGAAAAATTTTATTTATTAATTTTTATTAAATGACTTGAAACCCGAAGGGATATTATCATAATTTAGAATAATAATTAGAACAAAAGAATTATATATTATATATATTAACAACACAGTTCGAGTGCAGCCAAAACTTTATACAGACAAAGTAAGCAATGAATACAGTTGAAAATTGTATCGTACTTCAGAGCTTGTACATATGTATATCGAAATAATAAAAAACAAAAATTTTGACAGTTAAACTCGCCAAACCCTCGAAATTTAAAATTTGTAAATTCCCGTTACTTTTTGAACACACCTTGTATTTACCGACTAGAGTTACCCGAATGGACGTGGATCCTTATATTCCGTATAAAAATGCGAAGGGGCTGTGAAACGATTTCGACAGTATTTGTTTGCGTATTTCTACAAATTTTGAAAATAAACATATTCAAAAGTCCGAAACAATATTTGTATTGTAGTATTGAGAAACTAAATTTTAAACCACCATAGGCAATATATGAAATCCAAAGGTACTAATGGATATATTTTATAAAGGTCTCATTAAAAAGCATTTTCATAAAATTAGTTACAGCTGATATACAAATAGAATATGGGGATCATAAAATTGCATTGCTCATTGTTTCACTTTTTCACTTTTACTTCACCGGATGCTTAATATCTTAATATACCGCTACATGTGAACTGCTTACCTCTCGTTGGAAAAAGTTGATTTGATAAATTCTATGGAATCACCAATAACCGAGTCATGCAATTGATTAACTATTACAACATCGTAATTCTTGATAATTACCAGCCCCTTACTGCAATTACGCGGTTCGCTGTAACCGTACGTCCTCCTCGCCGTTAAGGTCGCGTGCTTGATATTGGTGTGGCAACTGGTTTTAGCACTGTGAAAACAAAACAAAAAGTTATTTCAATGTAGTTTGACGAAAGATAACAAAATGAATGAACTCAAATTGAGGTGTGTAAGCATACTTATTTATTAACATAATGAGCATGTCTGCGAGTTACACCTGTCATTACTGAATATTTGGTAGATAAATGGTTACAGATGTGAAGAATCATTTTCACGGGTTAACATATGTAAGTTTGTGTAAATATGTCTTAGAAAGCTTGTGAGTTTATATCTTTTCGTGAACACTAATATTTGTTTGAGAATGCATTTTTGTATGTATATGTATGTACAGTGACAGGCAAAACAATTGCAACTTAAGTTAAAAATAGTTTCACTACCTCTCGGCATTTTGAGAAGGTGTTTCTATAATTTGTTTCCCCCAAATTGTCAACAGGTTTTCAATAATATTATATCAAAAGTTTCTATAGAGTTTAAGGTAAAATTCATGACTCATCTAAAAGTTCTTATCCAAAAGCACTATTCTAAAAGTATTAGAACAGGTCTGCTAGCTCTTTGAAACAAATTGTTTCTAAAGAAATTTTTTTTTTCGGTATTCTACTTTATAATGTTCTAAGAACCCTAAAGTGTACCTTAAGTATTCAAACGCTGGTCTAACCAATTTTACATTGTTTTTGTTGTTTCCTGTAGTAATTTTTTGTCTAAAATTTTAGTTAATAGTGACATCTCTGCACTTTTTCACAAATTTTAATTATTTTAAGTCTATAGCTTTTAGCTGCATTTTTATTGCTTTCAACTGTATAACAAAACCACCATGCAGTTTACAATGATGCATATCTGCAATGGGGCATTCAGTGACAGATGCGTTGGAAAACCTTCATGTTTACCTCATCTCATTGCAATGCCTCAGTCGATGGTTTGATCTTTAACGTAATACAGCGCAAAATGGTGTCCGCAAAGTTGGTAAGTGAACTAGAAGCTTCTTCGGATAATTTACAGAAAGGATACGAAATATAAATGAGTTCAGAATTACATTATTGGATGTGTGAAGCCTTTATAAAATAAGTATATTCAATTATAGAGAGATATTCAATGAGAATTAAAAATACAATTATGATGAGAATTTATCGTTTGATAATTTGAAAGTATTAATAACTTATGTTTAAATGGTAGTGAAACTATTTCGAGTGCATATACATACAGTGCCAAATCTAAACGTTGATTCTCCTTTATATAAGAGAGAGATATATATTCTCATAACCGCTTTTACAAAGGAGATAATTCAATTTGCTATAAACACTTCAGGGTGCGTTATCAAATATATCTAAACAAGATTAGAATGTCTTTCAAATTAAATAAAACGTGATAAAGTACCAGAGAGTGTTTAAATAAATGTGTTTGTCTTCGATTCACAATTTCTCTGCTCGCTCCTGGTCTCTTATCAAAAAAATGGCATATAAAAGCAATAACATAATGCGGATACCTCATAAAAGTGATATAGCCACTATCTTCAGTGCTACCAAGTTTTGTTTTGCATATTTTAGATCAGTTTTACTATTGTGAATGGTCAAATGACAAATGAAAGTACAAATTTCTTGTTTTATACTCTTGCAACATGTTGCAACAGAGTATAATATTTTTGTTCATCGAACGGTTGTTTGTATCACCTAAAACTAATCGAGATAGATATCGAGTTATGTATATATAAATGATCAGGAAGACGAGTCGAGTTGAAATACGGGTGACTGTCAGTCTGTCCGTCCGTCTGACTATGCAAGCGATAACTTGAGTAAAAATTGAGGTATCTTGATGACACTTGGTACATGTATTCCTTGAACCCAAGGGAGGTTGGTATTGCAAATGGGCAGAATTGGACCATTGTCACGCCCACAAAACGCCATTAAACGAAAAGCTCTGAAGTGTCTTAACTGAGCCGCGAATTATGATACAAAACTGTAATTTGGTACAAGAAATCGCAATAGCAAGGGGTACCTGTGGGCTAAAAAGTTTTTTAGATTGTGTACATATCTTCCAAACCGCATAAGATACCATATATTAAACTTGCTGAGAAGAAGTAATTTTATCACCTCTTCAAACTTTTTGAAAATAGGTGAAATCGGATATTAACCACGCCCGCTCCCTATATAACGGTTATGTTGAAAACTACTTAAAGTCTAATTACTCACTAAATAAATGAGCCACAAGTATTAAACTTCACAACCAGGATGGTAGAGGAGGGCTTTATAGAATCTAGTGTAAAACTTGGACAAGGGGTGTGGAACCGCCCACCTTAAGGTTGAATCCTATATCTCAGGAACTACTCGACTAATTTCAACCAAATTTGGTGTGTGAGGTTACCCAAACAAAAGACTATTAGACACCGTAGAAATGGGCGAAATCGAATGACAACCACGCCTAATTCCCATATAACAAACTTTTAAATTCATTCTGATTCTTTCACTTCACAGTATACAAATCAAACATCAATACACCTATCAGAATAAAACTTCGCATAAATAGTGCCTTCGCGGTATTTCATCTTACGTCCAACAATTTTCGAAATCACACTTTAACTTGTGCCAAAAATAAGTCAAAGCAAGTCAACACTTCCCTTAGCTCCCATATACCTAACTTTCCTTAGCCCCATTACCTAACACTTTATACCGCATCTATAGGTCAATATATAAGAAATCTTAATAAAATTCAGAAATAATGTTTTTCTAATAACAGTGTATCCTCTTTACTTAAATGGATGAAATCACAGTGGTATTTTCCTTTGTTTGATATAAAGTTTTGCCAAAACCTGAAGGTGTTTCTCCGCCTTTGTTTCTTGCAAGTTGCAAGAGTTTAAAATGCTTGGCTACACCCGAACTTAGCCCTTCCTTACTTGTTATATTGTATTTTTAAAACTTAAGACTTAAAATCAATTATAGTACTTTTTCGAAAACAAAAAAAAGGATTACAGCAACGTTTTTCGATGCGAAAAAAGAATTTCTCCACCAAGAAATAATACTATTGCATGCGACAGAAGATATGTTAGCACAGGGTTGTACTAGAAGTGCTGCCTGTTGCTTGAGCATCTGGTATAGTTTGTTCGATTCGCTAAAGAGTAATGCTTGGCGAATCGAAGACAGCTTATATTGGAGAATGGGCTATATTAGGTATATGTGAACTTGTGGAAGATATATGACCGATCTATTAGGTATAAACGTAAACAGAATTACGAAAAACCCCTCGTCTTTCCTGATGGATGCTTGATTTAAATATCGCAAAGTGAAAGAACCTGATGCATTCTAAGTTTTACTAATTTATCTCAAGTTTTACTCAAGTTACCTTTTCGAAAGACATCCGGAAATCAATTCGGTTAGTTATACTGATAATTTTGAGCAAATCTATCTCGATAGACTTAGATTAGGTTAGTTTTAGAAACAAAGGTAAATTTGAATCCAAATAAATATTTCTTTATTTATTCATAGAATAGTATAATCTTAAAAAATATATATCTAATGAGTCACTAAAAAATTTTTTAAGCTCGGGTTGAAAGACCGAGATAGGTAAAATTAAACCATCCAATATACTCGTATTTCGGGGGATTGGTTGTACTAATTTTTGACAATTCAAACATATTTCTAAAACTTTAACTATTATTTTAAACTAAACTTTTTATTTCAGTTCTTGGTTGTTTCAATTCTCGTCACATCTTCGCTTTGCGCAAATGCCGGACTGTTGAACTATGTTTACCCTGCAATTATGACCGCGTTCTACAGTCAAGTACCGACCAAGGAGGGCTATCGATTCAAGTATTTGACACAAAAGTCTATAACTAGTTAACACATCAATTATCGCTTTTGATCTACATAGGCAGGACGACCCAAATGGCAGCTCACGGGAGGAGATTGGCGTTATTATGAATCCAGATACGCCGGACGAAGAATTGGTGATAATGGGTATGTACATGGTGTATGACGAGAAGACCGACACCGAGACCATTACAATGTATACAGCGGATAAAAATGGTTATCAACCGCGTTTCAAATTAAAGAATCGTAAATTAAGTTCCAAGCTCTTAATGACTTCCACGGGTTAAGGGACGAGGATAGTTAGAAATGTATATAATTGTTATTTCATGGCTATAAATGGAAATTAATTAATTACATCTGAGTATAAAATACAACAACTACATAAGTTGATACTAAGCTAACCAATAACAGTTAATAAAAATATATTACTTGATGTTTTCAAAAAACAACAGATATTAAGTACGACTAAAAATGTAAATAAAAAATTATTGAATAATAATAATAAAATATAATAAAAAATTTTCTTAGCTGTTTCGGCTCAGATTATTATCGTCGTCAAATTTCAGCCTTTTTACGGCTTTTCTCAAATTATTTAACGTTATTCCAGAAGGGTGGCACGCTTTTTAAGCAATATGGGTTTCATATAGTGCGAATAGTATTTATTGTTAGTTGAAAGTTCAATTTAACGCATATTTGGCGAGATAGGGTAAGATTTCTGCTAGTAAATGTAGCATTTTCTAAAGCAGATAAGTAAAAGATGTTTAAGAGATGAAAGGTCTGAATTCGATATTCTTACAGAATCCTCTACCTGTGTAAACTAGTTAAATTGAATAATGGAGTGGCACTATCTGCACAATATCATTAAATGTAGTGAACATTCATTGAACTTTCACTGAAAAGCTTCTCCCTATACTGATCGAGTGTAAGTATTGGAACTAACGAGGGTTGAACTTTCACTTTATGCTTTTTATGATAACAACTGGTTTTATATGGTATACCTATATGGTAGATAAACTATTACTGTGCTATTCTTAAAGATACATTTGTACGTCATAATCAAAGCTACTGCATAATAACAGCTCTCTTCGATTCTCCAAGCGTTGGATAGCAGTGAATTGAACTATTCTAGTTGTACAAACAAAATGACAGCACTGAGAGAAATTCTTGCTTTTCCATTAGAATTTTGGATGCTTACGTTTTCTATAAAAAAAAATATTTGTAAGATAATTATTTAGAGGATTTTTGCCTTATAATAACTCATAAGGTACAAAATATGTAAAACAAAACTTAACAGCATTGAAGATAGCGGTTATACCACTTTAACGAGGTAATTTTTTAACAAGAGAGCAGCGCGCAAGGTTGGTGAGCAATTAAGAACAACTAAATTATCTTTAATAGAAAGTACAATACGTAAACGTAATATTTACATTTATTGTATGTTCTATTACCTTCCCAAGAGCTCCGAAATTAATGACTCTCATATAATTTATAATTTGCTTAATCAATATTTTTGATATTTATAGCGAATTCAATGCGCATGTACAGGTACAAAAATTCTATATTTGCATATTCCAACGAAACTAGTTGGTTGCTTAGAAGGTCATTTCTGTCGTCTTCGCGATCTTGACTTTTGTCGACATATTAGTGACTTGACATGTGGCTAGACCAGAAAACGTGTTAGACTGATATTATTCATGCATAAAAAACAACGAGATTTAATCTTTCTAGTTGCGTTCATATGTGATTTACTCAATTATTTATAAAATATTTAATGACGTTTGTTTTCGATCAATATGTTTTTGAGAAATTAAGTGAAAGCAAATAAAGAACGGTTTCAATCGGAACTCTCGCTTTTTAAAGAATTGGAAGTGTATAGAATTTTTCGAATGACTGCTTAATTTTATTTACTTATTTGTTTTCAGATTATCTATTGTTGAAACACTTCCCATGGGTGGAGTGGGAGGCATACATACCAAGCTACTTAGTAGATCAAAGGAAGAATACCATACTCATAACTATACATACTTGTATATGTATGTATGTATATACCACTTTATATTAAATTTCTAGTTTATTTCGGAATTTTCAAAACCACTCAATATGTAAGGTTATGTAGGCGTCTGATTAAAAGGGGGACTTATGCCAGCTAGTATGCTCTCTGGATTTCTATGCGGGAGTCGTTTGTGAGTCTTGTCAGTAAAGCAATTACTATCACATCGTTTCTTGAAATAATTCGATTCAATTATTTATAACAATATGAACGATTCGCTCTGTTACCGTCATTCAGATAATACGAAACTGGAATTCTCATATTTTTTGAATATACGGATAGAGAATCTATTAATTAATACTAACGAAAATTTATGTTTTGGTACAAAGGTGAGTTTACAACTATAACCTGTCCTCTCAATTGTTTTGGAATCGGTGTGCTCATTGCACCTAGGAAAATATAGAAATTAATTTGAAACCGGAGGACCAACTAGCGGACTGCAGACTATTTTACAATAGTTATAATATATAATTGAGACAAAATCTCCCAAGTGTGACTGTTATTTTTGGATGGTTGAACTTTTCTCATACAACAAACTTTTTTTGGTTCTAGACGATAAATAAAATAATCAACTTCGACAGTTTGTCGATGTTCTTATAAAATGCAAAAAATTTTCTTAAACAAATTCAATTAGAGTCAACTTCTTCGCCGAAGTAGTATTTTTTTTTTGAGTTGTAAATATTAAAGTCAGTTCTTTGTCATTCATGGAAGTTTGGTAACTGCAATACGTCCAGTAGTGAGCTTTAATAACACAAATTCGTGCTCTCAATTTTTGGCCACATTGTTACAAATTTTAAGTTTATAAGAATACTCGTAAAAGCAGCTACAGCCAAAAAAAAATTTTACAAGGAGATGGTTTGCATTTGAAGTGACTTATCTCCTCAACTATTAAAATTTTTAAGTTGCATCTAAAATTGAGCAAAATATCGTTTTATTAATTTCCATAATGTAATTTAAATATATGATATAATAAAAATTCAGTTTTCTTCAAAAAATTAAAAAAATCAAAAAAAACTTCATTTACGAAAACCAAAACAAAAACTTGTACAGTTTGCATAAATTGACATTTTAACACTCTTAAAGGAAAATTAATACTTTATCATGGTTTGCAGTCTTTTATTCATAGAATGCACCATATTTTATGTAAGTTCAGAAGGTATATTTGCCCATATTTCCTGAAAATTAGCCATAACCTCATTTTTGCGATTAACTTTGCGCTCTCGTAACTTCGTCTAGGGAGGATGCGGCAGCACTTTTTTCTCGTTGAACAACAACCATTCCTTAACCTCTAAAGCAAAATGCTTCGGGTCGTTATCCTGAATAAAACAGAAGTCATCATTTGAATTGAATTAAGCTGCTGATGGAGCCAAATTATTTATTTAATATTTCCTAGTAGTATTTTCTTTACATAATTTCTTTGATGAAAACAAGGTTACTGACGCCATTTGCTCACACTGCACTTCTTTTGCTTCCATTGCACCACACAATGCATTCTCCATTCAAATCAACGACAATCAGATCCAAATAAATTAGATTTGGACAAAATTACGAAAAGTCCTTCAAAGTCAAAGCATCTCTCTGAACATTTTTTTTTATGTTCACTGTGTCACTATTATTCCGAAACCCCCATTTTATACGATATGATATATTTTAACTAAGTTCAGGATAAAACGAATGGTTTCAAGGAGTCATAAAAAGTTTGTTTAGTGTCCTGAATGTAAAGGTGTAAGTAGAATCATATCAGTATGTCGGCATCAATTCTGAATAGGTATGTTAGGAGCCTCGCGACTGCAACATGGCAGTTTTACAGTAGATATAAATAAAGAAGTTATAAATTAATCTTTCGAGATAGTAGGTGTCTATTTATAGCATACTGTGTCCAACCTTGAACAATTTTAAATAACAAATCATCAATAAAATCACCAAGATCGGAGTATATTAATTGATTATTTATTACAACATCATAAGATAATTCTCAAATCTGCATATCACTGCAGTAGGTTTGTTGGACCCGCCTCACTTGTCTCTGTATGAGTATATCCAATTGCAAATTACAATGATGCATATTTAAAATGATGGATTCAGTGACAGATGCGTTGGAAAACCTTCATGTTAACTTCATCTCATTGCAATGCTTCAGTCGATGGTTTGATCGTTAATGTAAGACAGTACAAAATGGTGTCCGCAAAGTTGGTGAGTGAACTAAAAGACGATTGGTGATAAGTTATTGAAAGGATACAAAACATAAATTCACTTGTTTAAAAAATAAGTGCATACTCGGAAAAATATGAGTAAGAAATGTAATTTCAATGAGAAAATATTCTTTGACAATTCAACCTTAAATTTAATTACAAGTGATAATGAAACTAGTTCAAGTGTATATAAAGTTTAAAAACTCGAAGGTCTTGCACATATTTTAACAAACTTTTTAGACCAGGACAGATAGTTTTTGAAAACAAAAAAGTTATAGTTGGATGAAAATTAGAATAAAATAACATAAAAGGAAAGGAAAAATAATTTACGGGCAATCTGAGGTTGGGAAGAGGAAGGGGTGGTTGAATTTTTAACTGTTAAAAACGACGAGTCCTATAGAAAAAAGTTATATGGCACAGTTTTAGATAATGAAGAGATCTTCAACATTTGTATTAACACCTTTTTCACATAACCTTAAAATTTATGTGAAAAATTCATATATTCAAGTTTTTGGGTTTTTGTTTTTATCTTTTACAAAAACTTTTTTCATTCACGAAATTTGGTGTACACTAACTTTTTTTCTGTCTTAAACATGCTGGGATTTTTTTTTTATTTAAAATATTTAATTATCCACCTTATTTTGACTTAATATCGAAAAAACCCTAATTTACAATCGAAAACTCTCACGTCAAAATATTTAGTTTTATAAAAATGTCGGTGGGCTTTTTTATTGAAGTTGCTATATTTTCATGGTGTAAAAAAATATATATTACTATGGTAAGCTTTAACAGCGAATGTAAAAAATACCTCACTAAACTATAGTCGTTGTCGAGGCAGCAACGAAACAACATCGTGATTGGTCGTGTGCTGGAATGCTCTTTGCTGTTTTGAATTCAAAGTTAAGGTTTTTATGGTTCAATATATTTATCCTGATCGTACAACATATATAGAATGAATAATGAGTCACGAAAATGATTGTTTCACGAAATAATGCAAACATTTTCTATATACTTTGTTTACACTCAGTCGCAGTTCCTCTCATGCCGACAACTGATCTAATGTTTTATTTGTACTCTGAAACCTAGTGCTCTCTATATGTAACTCAACATTAACAATCTTCGGAATACCTCAGCAATCTGCTTGGTTTTTTATGTTCTTATGGAGTAAATAATTCAACTTAAATTACTCCATTCGATCTCGCATTGACACTGTTCAATACAACCGGATCTATAGTATTATCCTATTTAGGGAACCGTTCACTTGCGCTAGTATAAGA